TGTTGTTGCAGTTGCTGCTGCTGCTGCTGCTGCTGCTGCATTCTGTTTCCCCTCATCTCCCTCTTGTGTATCCGTTATATCTTCCACTTGCATGCGTTTCTCCTGCTGCTTCTGCTGCTGCTGCTGCTGCTGCTGCTGCTGCTGCTGTTTGTGCTGCAGCAAGTCCTGTATAGCAGCAGCAGTTTGCTGCGGAGAAGCAAAAAGAAGAGCAGCAGAAAAGAGAGACAGTCTCCGTCGCTGAATGTCTGTCTCCCCCGGGGGGTCCGCCAGCCTTGTCTTTACTTTTTCTTTTTCTCGGTTAGCCTGAAAACGACGCAGTATCTATACACCAGCAGCAGCAGCAGCAGCAGCAGCAGCAGCAGCAGGAGCAGCAGCAACAGCAGCAGGAGAAAGAGCAGCAGCAGCAGCAGCAGCAGGAGAAAGAGCAGCAGCAGCAGCAGCAACAGCAGAAATTTGAGGGGTATAAGCTTTGGGGCTTGCAGCACAAATTATATTAATGCATGCACACAGCAGCAACAGCAGCAGCAGCAACAACAGAACAGCAGCAGCAACAAAACAACAGCAGCAGCAGCATATGAGTGTGGGTGCTCTATCCTTTGTATATAGCAGCAGATGAGGAATCACAACAAAACAATAAAAACAGCAGCAGCAGCACCACGACAGCAGCAGCAGCAGCACCACGACAACGGCAGCAGCAGCAGCACCACCCCACCACCCCAGCAGCAGCAGCAACAGCAGCAACCTACGAGCGTGGGTGCTCTATCCTTTGAGTGTGTATGACAGAAGATAAGGGGTCTGCCTGCATCCCAGTCCGTATGTAGATTGGGGTGTATAGTGAGACAAGGAAGATGAAAGGGTTTGCTGCAGCTTTGGTAGCAGCACTGTGCTGGGGCTGGGCCGCAGTGGTGACAGAGGAGACACCGCAGACGAGAGCGTGGCTCCTCTATACATATACACCGCAGCTTGTCTTTACACACAACACCACATACTGATAAAGCACAACGAATGTGAGCCCATATACGCGGCTGCATGCATACACACACACACAAAAAAAAAGTTTTTTTTTTTTTTTTTTTTTTTTTTTTTTTTTTTTTTTTTTTTTTTTTTTTTTTTTTTT